CCAAAGTTTGGGAGCATTTTATCCTTGATACAACGAGTAAAAAAAAATTACGTGCAAGGTTTGCAAAACAGACCTTGCGTATCACGGCAGCACCTCGGTGATGCATGAGCATTTAAACAGAAAGCATGTTGGGCACTTAAATGAAACGGAGTCTGACTCGCCTCGGTAAGATTTAAGCAACAATAATGCTAATATGTTTTGTCTTTTATGTGCGTTATACATTTTCTAAGCGTTTTTTCACTTTAAAAGAGAGCTTTAACCTTATGCCTGACTGTGCCTGACAAACGCATTCTTATTTACGTTTTGTATCAGCTGCAAAGTTGAATAAAAGATGCATTTCTCATTGAAGTACCCATTTTTCTTGTGTTTATCATTTTCCACTTAACTAAAGCAACTTTATGCTATTTTTAAGAAAAAGTGGATAACTATTCGATTAGTCGACTAATCGTTTCAATAGTCGGTGACTAGTCGACTATTAAAATAGTTGTTAGTTGCAGCCCTAATTGCTAGTTGGGCGTGGTGACCATATGAAGGGGAAAGGTCAGGTTATCAGGTTGGCCCCTCCACCTGTGTCTCTATCTGCTGCTTGCAGGTGATGATTGGCTCGTTGGAGAGCAGCGGAGACATTGTTTCCGTCTCATCTTGCGACAACGAGATCTTCATCCTCAAAGGAGACAGGGACATCATTCGCCTCTCCAACAGCCCGGAGGGAATCGCCTCAAACTGTGAGCGTTTATCCCACCGCTCATAGCCGTGCTACTCCTCAGACTCACCATCTCCTAGTGTTGTCACGATACTAAAATTTTCAACTCGATACCGATACTCAGGAAAATACTCGATACCATTTTCGATACCACAAGGATAAAAACAAAGACCCTAAAATTGAACTGAATTGTGTCTTTCATTTCAAACTGACCTGTCACTGATGTTATGGTGGCTGGTGGCCCAAATTAATGACCCTAACCCTAACCCTAATCCTAACCCTAACCCTTCATAATAGTGAGAAATAAATATTTTTTGGTTAAACTTGTTTGGACTTATTGTACAAACCTATTTAACATCCACTATTTTAACATCATATTATGGATAGAGTTTAATTCAGTGTTTGCAAGATTCATTTCACTATTTTTAAATTAATGTCTATATTGCCATGAAGCAATTAGGATTTTCTTGCCTGGGCTCTTTCTATTGGTGACGTAATCAAAACGTCCGATTTGGATGTGGGCGGAGTTAAATATGTACTTGATTAAGGGTAGCATGTTATTATTAGCCATTAGCCGCAGCTACCAAGGCTAACGTCACGTTAATGATCATAAACAACGTAAATAAATACATAAATAAATCAAAGAGAAGGGCTCACGCGGTGGTATCGATACTTTTGAAAATGAGTATCGTATCCGGATACAACATTTTAGTATCGATACTTTTTCGAGTATCGATACTTTTGACAACCCTACCATCTCCTCAACATTTACTCCTGCCTGTGTCTGTCCCTTCAGTGTCGGAGTTCTCCATGCGTTTGTCCTCGCCCCTGACCACGCCCACCAGCCTCCAACCGACCGGGTCAGTGGAAACGGCCCAGCCCATCCGAACCATGGCCATTATCATAGAGTCTGGGGGCCGAGAGGAAGCCAGAGGCGGGGAGAGGCTCAGTGAGGCGGGGCCGGAGGAGATGGAGGAGGGGGGGGTGGAGGAAGTGGAAGAGGCGGAGGAGCAAGAGCAGCTGGAGGTGGGTCGAAACATAAAACCGCATCGTTAGATCTGTGCGCTAATGGTGTGAAACCATGTTGAATGTTTAAGTTGTCAATGTGAAAACCGCTGCGTATTGATTCCAACAGCAAAGCGCTGGCTTTTTCTAAGTAGCTGAAGTGGAAGGAAGTCGAATGCGTTTAACGGTAAAGGATTCTCAGGGGAAGTCGCACTGGCACTGTTTGGTCCAGAAGAAGGTGGCAGGTTTCCTGAATAGTTTGCTACTATGAGCAAGTGTTAAAGCTCATCAGAATTGTCCATGAAGCAACCCAGAGCCAGTGCTTGTTTCAGGCAATAGCCCCCCCCCCAGTTAAGCAGCTCATCTTTAAGTTGGTTTTGTCCATTTTCACAAGTAAGATTGCGAAACCAAATCGAATGATGATGTGAACAGGTCTGCCGCACCATTAGAAACGGGAGTCTCTGGAGTAGCTCAGGCAGAGAGGCGTCAGGTTGAAGTGGGGATTCTCACAAGCTCTGGATATTAGGCATGGCAAGATTCACCGATGCGTATCGGAACATCGGAACGACC